GCCTGAAGGTAACAAGTGGATTCACAAAGTCTAGCATTCTTGTACACACATACACACAAAGTCAGTAATTGCTCCCTGCACAACACTGTTGTACATACAGGTCCATTTTGCCCAGAGTGTTCATCAGCTGACTGAGTTTGCTCAAATGTCAGGGATCCATAATTGCAACTTTTCATTACTCTAAGCATTTTAAGGGTTTTTCAGCATCAGCAGCAGCTTAATATTGAAACTGTATATACTGTATATCACTTATTTTATGGTCTAAATTCACTCCTTTGGATTTTTTGTTTCAAATGGTTCAGTTTCAAAAGCAGCATTTCCAATATATGTTTAGTTTACACATTCAGATAGAAAATTCACCCAGTCAGGATTTCTAATGCATATTCAAATAGCTCAAATCCAGAAAGCTCAATTCAGATCTAAAAAAAAAATTAAGTGAAGTCAAAATATTGAGATGCTGATTTTCACCGTTTTTGTGTGACAGGTCTGAGCATGATCAGCCATGAACACCTTGGCAAGACACTTGCCACCTACACTGGTCATCCAGGAACGTGGTAGAGGAAAACATTGACTTTTAGATCAGTGTGTCTTCCATCCACCATCAGTGTTAGGCAAAAGTGTCACCACCAATGATTATCCAGGGGAATAATTTGACATTGCACTGACACATAGACAGCTCGAGAAACATGCGCTTCCACTAAATGGCAGGACCAAGTGATGGAAAATGGTGTAAGTCAGCAGAAATGAGACACAAACAAACACACTCACACCTCACACACACTACATCAGAGCTCTGCATGCATTCTAAACAAGAATGACACTGAAATATTGACAAATGGTTTTGCCTTTCTTTTCTGCTGTTTGTGTTTCACACTCACTAAAGAGGACCCCATGGCAGATTCTCTGTATGCGTGTAGTCTTATTAATTTGTGGCTGCACAGAGCACTGTGACTGGGCCAAACTGGGTGAAACTCTGTTGTAAATGACTTTAATTGCAGCACTGTTTCTTTACTAACAGTCACTTCATCTCTCAGTAAAGGATTTTCCTCTGCAGCAACACTAATTACTGTTTTCTGCCTGACTGCTTCATAGCCACTGCACACAATCAAAGAAAGAAGAAATTATATACTATTATTCTAACAAATTAAATGTGGAATGTTTAAGCAATAAAACACACTCATGGGCTTCACTGCTAAAACATTACTTGGCCCGGTTGGTTAATTACTACTGTAGTCACCATGCAGATGCAGATTTGAGATGCCAGGCTCCCGGTCACTATGCCAGCCTGTAGAATCACCAGATGGAGCTGCATTTGCCATATAGGACAGTATAACAAGAGAATGGCACAATCAAAGGGGATATAAGTGAAAACCTGAGGCAGTGAAAATCTGACAAATACCAATATGCATACAATATACTACATGACAAACAATTATATTACTGTAATTACATCTTGAACTGTTTTGTCTCCTTCTCCACAGCTGTTTTGATTTCTATTTTTGTTGTGTTTGTCCTGCCAACAAGGAAATATGATTATGAAAGCTGTTAAATGATGTGGGTAAATGTGCTGAATTAATAAGACATGCTGTATTTATTGAGTAATATTGCAACATTTATAAGCAGAGCGTCTGTGACCTCCAGTGGTAATCAGCAGAAGTACATTTGACAATATTGAAATGAGAGAATCAATAGGTGGCGCCACAGGTGTGATAATGAAATGTGTCCAGGAGTGAGTGCATTAGTCAAAGGGTGAGCTAGTTCATAGCTCTAGGCAGTGCACACACACACACACACACACACACACACACACACATGCACACACATTAAAATAGGCCCTCTTTTTTGTTTGTTCACTTTTAAACCTCAAAGGCAAACAAGACACGTGTACTGTGTTGGCGGATGTTTACCCACTCAATATTTCCAAAGTCCAAAGGTCAAAGATGAGGCATTTTGTCTCTGCTTCTCCAGGATATTTGTCAAAACAGCCACTGATCTGTATGAATCTCCTTTACATCTACATGAGTCTGTGTTTGTACAAATCTGTTTGTTATATAATGAAAAGCAGAGGAACAACATCAGATGTAAGAACTAACTAAAGCAATATTTCTTGTAAAGTGTCAAGTGAAACTGCACTTAGCTGCTATCAAAACACGTACTGTATTTGAAGTGAAAGTATAGTCTCACAAAAACATGTGACACTCAGATGTGTGTGTGTTTGAGATTGTGGATCATCCAGGTGACATGTCTTTAGGACACAGTCACCTGGGTGTTTCGTTGCCTACAACTCAAATTTCCTTCTCTTGTTACTTCCTCCACTCCTGTAGTGAAAACTGAAAACCACAAGGTACAGTATCTTTTAATGCACTTGCTTTGAAAATTCTGTCTTTGTAGTTGTTTTACTGGCTGCTAACAGGAAAAATCATAAAAAATTGACTGTTGTTGTTGGACTGCTACAAAAGCTAAAAGTGGCTGATAACTAATAAGTGATAAATGCCAGTTTGGTAATTTAGAAATCAATTTTATTTCCTATAATTTTCCCAGTTTTTCATTGGGGGGTTTCTGGAACAAAATTCAGAGGTTTAACAGGTTTCTCTGGTTTATGTGCAGATGCCAGCTCAACTCAGTTTGACAGACACGTCTTGTTTAAAGAAACTGTGACAGACAGACATTATGCTGATCGGGCTGAAACAGATAAAGGGATGATTGATATGGGAGTGTGGCGTGTGTGACAGCAGATACGTGTGGTGTCAAACAGGTCTGGGAGGAGGCAGAGGAGCTGCTTGTTTACGTGAGCAAGCAACAGTATCAGTTTGTTTTTGAGAAGAAAAGTGCAGTGTGACACACTTCCCTTTGTTAGTTCAACACACAGGCTTTTTTTTATATAGTGGTGACATTCACAAAACCATCTCAAAGTGGAAACAGCATCCAACATAATTATGAGGCTATGGATCATTATTACCTGTAGCTGCAGACAGAAATAGCAGTGACCTCTGAACACCATCGGTGTTTGACTGAGTGGATGGAACATTTGATTTTCCCTTATTTGTTTATCCATTTGTTTATCCAAGTGAGACCATAGTGATGTTGACTGACTGTGTGTCACGCCTGTCCCAGCAGCTTTAGCTATACTGTACTTCACTGTGGATCCAGTTCCTCATAATTCATCCTGACTGACAAAACTCTGATACCACAGCTCTGACTGTCTGACATTTCCAACATCACAGGAGCAGCAAAGATTCAGGCAGTGAATGAAGAGGTTGGTATTGTTGGGGGGAGGGGAGGGTTGCTGGGTAAACTGGGAGAAGGAAAAGGTTAAAATTAGGCATCAAATCAAAAACAAGCTCACTATTTATCATTTTTATTTATCAAAACAGTGAGCAAAGTCAGTAGATAATCATGCAAACACTGTTTGTCCTTAATTTCTGCACTTTTTTATCTCCTACATATGATGTTTGCCACTTATGTGAATATGATTTAATATTTACACTTTCATTCTTGGTTGCCAAACCCTCTCTGACTGGTGCTCACATCTACAAGAGAATTAAGAACAACGGATAAACGAAACAAAGAAAAGCAGCAATGAGAGAGCCAACAGTAGCAAAGAAGAAGAACGCGAAGAGAACTCTAGTATTAACCACACAATGTGATCCCTACACCTCCCAACACCATCTACTCTCTCTCACTGAAGGTTACCTTGATATATGATTGATGTCTGTGAGCTAAAATTTATTTTTTATCCTGATCTGTCACTGAAATCTCTTTCATCTTTCTCTCTCTCTCTCCTGTGCTGATCTCTAGCTTGAGGAAATATCTCTAGCTTGGATTCACAAAAAAAAAAAAGAAAAATGTGATGAAATTATTTTTGTCTGAGATGCAGGTCCTGGAATAAAATAGATGTTTTAATCTCTGATTAAGTTACTTGAAAGATTATTTTTATGAGTGGGAGCACATCACAAAGAGCACAGCCAAATATATCACAGTCAGTGTATCTGACCAACAAAAAACCCCACAGCTCTAACCAATTAGGACATTATACATTTAATTATATGCGAATGATAAATGAAAGTATTGGAAAAATTATGACCTGATGATGGTGGTAAGTAACCAAAGTCATAATTCATCCTGACCCACAGGTTGGGAAGATGTACTACAGCAACACCTACAACCAAAATATATTGTCATGATTTTTAAAAATTCAGTTCCCATGTAAAATAAGAGATGAGTGTGTCATGCCACATATGATCGGGGCAGCACATTTTAAGTGAATGAAATGACAATAAACCAATCTGTCAAGAAGCAGAACAAGCTCTTCCGGTTGTCCCTGATTAAATTACAACAGCATTGCATTAAAAACACATCAGCCATGGCAGTTTGGTAATCACCTATCAATCTGTAAGCACCACAGGCACCTGGCATTTTTACAACTTACCCTTTGGCTGTGTTCTGTGTGTATGACAAGGCTGTCCTATTTATGGCTGTCGTGCCGCCAGTGATATATTAGAACAATGCAGTTATTGTCTGAAAGCTGGGTGTTGCCCTTGCACCCAGGAACATGAGAAAAGGTCATATGTGTAATGGAAAAAATCTGTGTGTTATACATCGGCTGTAGTATTTCTGAAAGCTAAGCTCAAAAAGCTCAGATTAAAAATAAGAACGGCTGTTCTTTCATAAAAGCTGCATCGACTGAGGTAACATTTTCTCCTTTAATGACGTGAACATGCTTGAGCTCTGTCAGCACATAACCCTGTCCTGCTGGATGTTGACCAGTCTTGGGATAATCAACCTCCCAGCAATATTTTCCATACCAGTCTGTGCCGTGCTGCAGGAACTCTGGCCTGCTTCCAGTAATAATGCAGATGCCTCCCTTTTCTTCGCAGTATGCTCAGCCTCCTTGTATAACACACTAGGGCTCTGCTCCAGTAATATGACAGGGAAAAGATTTGTTTCCCCTACCCATCTGTGAAAGTGAAAATATACACACAAGGAGAGCAAGAGGCTGGAGTACAAAGTTTTATTATCACTGGAATGTGAAGGAACACACTGCCCTGTTGCTCTTTGTGTTAGCTGAGTAAAATAAGTTGATTTGCTTTATGCACAAACATGGTGTAACATGCAAACAGTGAAACAAGAGCGGAATAATCCATAATTAATGGGTCATAGTGAACAGGTAAAGTGGTGTATTTTCCTCCCAATAGTAGGTTATTAATACTAAATTCTGTGGTGCTGGTACAACCTGTGCATGCTTTTGGCTACCATGCTTCTATTAACACATTTGGTGCAACACAGGCAAACTGTGACCATCCTATTTGTCAGATGTGTGTCTCACAAGTGGCAATTCAACAGCAACATTGACAGTAACTTCCAAAACACAATGTACAAAAACCACAAAATAAGCATGACTCTTTTTTAAAAACTCACTTTCTTCTGGTTTTGTAATAAAATGGGCTCAAAAAGCACTTTTTCAACATCAACCTTGGCACTTTTCATTAAAGATGAGCTGTCTTTGTTGCTTGCTTAAAGAAAATACAGCAGTGTTGAAACATAATTCATGCAGCCAGTGTGAGAAAAAGGTCATTATACGTAGAGCTAGGCCTAGGAAGTTTGCATTAAACAGAGACAAGGACGCTGTCTTCACACAACAAGCTGCTGTCTGAAGCTCTGCAGCGGGAAGCGGAGCTGTGTTTTAGGCGCAGACTCAGACTGTAGGCTGTGTCCAGCCTCTTTCTCCTCTGGCTTCGCTGACCACTGATGATGGTGAATTTAATTTCACTGCTCATTAAAAGGACATCTTTGCAGCTGGTCCTGCCATCTGACGCTGGTTGGGAGATTGTGTCCCCAGGAATAAAATTAAGAGAGATTCAGACTGACCTGTGCTCATCAGACCTGAAAAATAAAAATGACAGAGAGGTAAGTGTCTGCCAGGTTTCTAGCCTCACTCTTGTGTGCTTTAAAAGCAGTCAAGGCATCAGTCCTGACTACATGCAGCCTGGGCTGGTCAGATGAAAACATTTACACAGCAACACTGATGTGCTCTTGCAGCGAAAACGACACTGACAATAAAACCCCTGGTAAGGTGTTCACCTCGTCACCGTCTTGTGGTTTGTAATGAGGTTAGAAGGCTTTAATGAAGGCTTATAATGTGTGAAGTGTGCAGCTATCTCATTCTCTTTTCATGTCTTTGATCAGTGCCACTGACTGGAACGCTTGGCTCTTCCAGCACATACGCTACCTCACACCCTGAAATCAAAGGCTTGTTAGATTCAGTCAAACATGTGACTCCGCAAGCCACCGCTGGGTCATCTATAGAGATGTACATATCGGGTATGTGTGCATACTCCAAGTATATGGTGTATAATTGGCTTTTTCTGTATTTCCAATTTTGGATGTACAGTAATAAAATACAAAACCCGACCCTGAGTCTGAGGGTACCAGAAAATAATTGGAAGCTTAAGAGTGTTACATAGTGTAAACCTTGGCGGAGATCGTAACTCACTGTCTCTTTTCTCCCTGTTTCTGCAAGAAGGTCAGACTTGTCATAAGAAAAGTATTTAATTTATGTTGCTCTCTGACAGAATAATCAGATGCAGCATGAGTAGGTTGCCAAGGAAAATAAAACTGATGGATTGTGAGATTGAGAGGGATATTGACCATAATAAAATGAAGTTATGATAAATTCTTATTGTAGTTAAAGCTGCAACAATAACCCAGTTAATCAGTCAATCGACAGAAGAATAATCTGCACCAAATTTCGCTAATCATTTAATAATTTAGGCCATTTTTCAAGTAATATTTTCTGGCTCCAGATTCTCATTTATGAGGATCTGCAGCTTTTCTTAAATTTATTGTATTGTAACTTGAATATCTTTAAGCTTTGGGCTGGTCAGATGATGCACAACAGACTAAATCAATAAAGAAAATATATTATAGATAATCATAGTTACACCCATAATTGTAGTTTTGCTTAAAAACTAATAAAAAAAAAAAAAAAAAAAAAAACTGAGAGCTTAATTTTTAGAAATTAAGCTTCTGTGTTTGCTTCAATGTCTTCTATGACTGGGCTCCTAGCTTTACTGATTTATGGTGTCAGACTGGCTCAGGTGGAGCAGTATGATGAATAAGACTATAGGAGGTGTTTACATTTGGACATCTCTGAAGGTAAACTTTTCATACCATTGGATTTACACCCAGCACGCTGTGAGATAACAGTGTGCTCTCAGTGTTCTGCATGTAACCTGTCTTTAAAACAGTGGTGCACTGTCCATGTATTCCAACTACATGATCTATTTCTTTAAGTGCCTGTTTGGCAAAGTGCCTACAGTATGTTGGTCAGATATATAAACTATTTACCTTGGATGTTTTTGGATGTGCTCCACAATCTGTCGCTCCATGTTACGGTCTCATGCAGTGCATCACTCAGCAGCAGAGTCAAGCTCTGCCAAGACGCAGTCAATGTTTTCCTTCTACTCCTCTTGTTTCAAACAAGGTCCAGCAGACGCAGCGGTGGCCTTCGCTGCTGCAGCTCTTCATGCTGAGAAACGGTCAATCAAAAAGCTCCTCTGTCCCGCTGGTTCTTAACAGGTTGCAGTGTCAAATTTCATAATAGCATTCAATAACTTTCCCAAAGTTCTTTAAAATGGATATTTAAAGTGCATTAAAACTCAGTAACACTGTCATATTTTCTTCAGGCTGTCTATTAACACCTGGTGAAATAATCACTACTTAATATTTCTTCAGTTTTGCAAGGAAGTAATAGGACTATTTCCTTGTTGTGTGATCCTATAAATACTGTGCAAGTTCCTGTTTAATGACCACTTGTTACACATTTGTAGCAGATGTGAGTTAAAACATAAAAGTGGTAACATACAGCAGTTTTAACCATATATGATGGATTCAGGGTGTGAGCTGTGACTTTAAGCAGAGCTTATTTGTGTTTACAAATATTTTAAGAAAAATTACATAATTACCAACACATTGTTAAGTGTCACAGTATATGTGAGTATTTTAATATTGCAATAATTACATTTGTTACATTGTGTTGTTAATGATTAAGTATAAAACTAATAAATTAAGAAACCTTCAATATGGTTAATTACTTAACTCCAAATTATAAATAATATTAAATAATGATTAGTTCACCACTCCAGTGTGCCAACTGGTGTAAAGTGTTATAAGTCACCATGAGTTACTGAATATTGTTCTGTGCTGGTTAAGTCAGCGTTAAGTGTGAAAACATAGCAAACCAAATTCCCTTGCTCACCATGTCCGTTTTCCCAATATTTAAAATGCGTGAATGTCATGTTTTAAAAATGCATAGGCCATCTGCGCACTCGTCAGTGCAAACCAACTCTGGCTAGCAGCCCTCCAGTTTGAACTGAGCCAAATATGGCCTCACCACAGCAGAAGCATTCGCAAGTATTTATATTCTCACGGGGTGCTGCTCCTTGTCTGAGTCTGTGTATCCTGCTTTGTGGGATCAAGATCCTTCTGTGGCTGACATCTCAGCCCTGAAACTTGGAGCAGACAACATGTCCTCCTGGCCAGTACTGAGATGAGGTAGATTACACTTTTTTGAACATTTTATTTTGAACATTTTGTGCTTGGTGCCTTCGTTGGCTGTGTTGAGAAATTTGGGAATTAAGGTTGAGAAACAGCTCAAAAGTTCAAAAAGCAGAAATATCTTAATGTAGAAAAAAAAATCCAAAGTAAAGAATGTAGATAAGACTCAATAGTGAGTCACATGACAGGCACTTCAGCACCAGGTAAAAACACAGCAGTCTTCCCACCACAGGGGGAATCTCATCCCTCTATACGGAGCTTTCATCCGGCCTGGGCAGCAACTGAGTGTGTTTTCTTTTCTCTAAGATCTTATTGAGCTCCTCAGCGAAAGAGTAGCAGTTTGGTGATGTGTTTTCAGACTCGCTCTGCCTCAGCAACATGTAGCTGTTCCCATTTATCCTCCTTAGAACACTAGGCAGCGTGGCTGACAGCCCATTGGGGATTTCATATCCTGGAGAGGGAAGCTGCAGTGTGGGAGGGAGAGGTGGTGCTGGGGGAGGAGTTTCCTTATTGGGTGACGGGTGACCTTCACCGGGAACAATCTGGAGGAAGCCTCCATCCTGGATGTCGCTGTTATGTTGCTTTGAAACTCCGTTACAAATGCCATTGCCATTACAGTGGCTTGAGATTGTCTTCAGCTCCATTTGGGAGGAGTTTCTGTGCTGTTTTCTGTTTCTCTTGTGCCTCTTATTGTTCGGGTAGGCAGCAGCTGCGGTGCGTAATGAGTACTTCCCTCTGTGGCCCAATCGCAGGCAGAAGCCCACATAGATGAGAACCACAGTGAGGACGACACACAGGCCTCCGAGAATGGTGATGATGGACAGGTACATGGCCTCCATGCTCCTGGGGGAGAGCAGCTCTGAGCGGGGGAGGAGAGGGCCTGGGGGTGGTGGGAGTGGCCTCTCAGAGGATGGATGCTCGGTGGGTGCTGGAGGAGTGACGGGGTGACTATAAGGGACCTCAGTTGGCTCAGCAGGTGGAGGAGGAGGCAGATCCAAGCGGATGGAGACATTGTAAGCAACCACAGCAACATTGATATTGTTCTCAACAGAGAAGCAGGTGTACAGGCCACTCTGGTCCTGCTGGGCCTCGATGATCAGCAGGCCATCGGTGCCGGTTCTGAACCCAGAGCTGAGGCCATAACCCTGCAGCTCATTGTCATTCAGAGTCCAGAAGGGCGTTGCCAGGTTGGAGCTGAGCTCACACTGCAGCAGCACGTCATCACCCACCCGCACAGAGCGGCTCCGCAGGACGACGTCTGAAACACACATATTAACACTGTGAGAACCTTTACAGAATATCTCACAGCTCAGCCTCTGACTCATTTTGTATGTAAATTGCTTAACACCTATGAAATTCATCAAAGGCTGTCCAGCGTTAGTGAGGAATAATCTCAAACTACAAATCATTTAATTCTTGCCATGATATCTCTTTGTACTGCAAGAGAACGACGAGGGGGCAGACAATGATGCATCTTATTAGACTGAAATTGAGAAGTGAGAGAAGGAAGTTGCCTGCTTTGAATATCAAACAGATTTCTCTCCAGAGATGGCAAAAATGTGATTGGAGAAGGGTGGAGAGGATTTTGCCAACACAGTGTACATAGTCAGGACTCAAACAGGCCTTTGTGCCATCTGATGACATCCATGTAGTTGTCGAGTCCTTCCTAACATTCTCTGTTTTAAATCTCCCTTTCATCGTTCACTGTGTGGAAGGTTAACTGTTTTTAGAGCAGTAACACCTACCAGCAGATGAGATTTCTGCACAGCCCCTGTTGCCCTGCTGGATGTCCTGAATTAAAGTGGATCTGTGAAGACAGAGAAAACATAACAATAAGCACATTAGTGAAAAGCAGAAATACTTAACTTGCTGTAACAAAAAAAATATCCCGTATTGTTCATACAGACATACCGAGATTTTTTATTTCTTCCTATTTCTATTTATTACTGCATTGCAATAAGTTCAGATGGCAAAGCAGGTTTCTACAGGGTTGGCATGTCTGTCCAGATTAATCAGTACACCTTAAGTACACAACTGCATGCTATGTTTACATAGTCAACGTTTCTGCCAGTGTTGTCAATATGCAACGTTCCTGGGAGCTGCCACTGTGACATTACTCCAATCAGTACACATCTGCAGCACTTTACATCACCTGATCCAATCTCATACACACACACACACACACACACACCTCATGAAGGTCCTGTCTGTGTGCGCCATTACATCCACACACTGGGCTCTGTTCCAAGCACAGTGAGGGTCTCTGGCAAAGATGCAGTCATAGCAGGAGGTGTATCTGTGGCAGTTAGACAGCGGCAGCTGCACCACACCTGATGGAGAGCCCACGTACACACTCATCTGGGGAACAAGAGCAGATTTAAATACTGTGGGATGGAGATTACTCCTCATATGTGTGCGCATGCGCATGCGTGTGTGTGTGTGAAGGTCAAATACTCTACCTGTTTTGTTGATATCAGTAGATTGTTAACAGGCTGTGGTTCATCAAACAGTTGAAGCTCTTCAATAATGTGCAGCTGACCGTTAACTTCTACAGCTTTGTGTAACCAGCCTTCATCTGAGTGACACATACAAAGTGGAGAAAAGGATCATACCAACATACAGGAGCCTAGATGTACTACGAGCTGAATGGAATAAGCATTTCTGTCAACAGTTTCCAAAACATATCACAGTATTTAGCTGTATTTCCATTTGAGACTGATTTCACATAAGCAATGTCTTATCAGAGTTGCAACATTCTTGAGTGTGAGTAGAGATGCAGAAAAGGATCAGCCATCTAAGATGTGGACTTCTCTGAAATCATTTAATAAAAGAACAAACAAAATTCCAGCAGTTCTGTGCATGTTGTTTGTTGTAATACACTGCTGTAAGTGCTCATACCTGTATTTTGCTAATTGTTTATGGTATTTTTCAAATTTATAAAAGTGTAAGTATACTGTAATCTGTATAACTATACTAAGTTTATGTTTGTATTTGTTATTATTCTGTCTTTAAGTGCTAGAATACAGATAAATATATTTTGATTACAACAGGTGATTGTGCATTAAGGCAGTTTATAGTGTGTATGGTTAAAATACGTTTCCGAGCAATGCGGTGCTAGTAACATGCAAGGTAGTCTGCAAGACTTAGGACTGAAACAAGTTTTTTACCATGTGAGAATGTGTTTTAAGGTGTAACAATGTGTACTTAGAATCATGTATATAGAAATATAACATTGACTAGGAAGGTGTTCCAGGCATGTCCCACCGGGAGGAGGCCCCGGGGAAGACCCAGGACACGCTGGAGGGACTATGTCTCTCGGCTGGCCTGGGAACGCCTCGGCATTCCCCCGGAGGAGCTGGAGGAAGTGTCTGGAGAGAGGGAGGTCTGGGCATCTTTGCTTAGACTGCTGCCCCCGCGACCCGGCCCCGGATAAGCGGAAGAAAATGGATGGATGGATGGATGGACATTGACTGAGATATAACTTTGGAATCACCTGCCATGATGTGGTGCATATATTCAACACTTTCCCTGCCCTGGACTCGTGGTTACACTGGGTTTTCAAAGGAAATACTGTAGCAACATGGTTAAATGGTCACTATAATTGTCTTTTGGTAACTGACTCTAAAATCTCCTTGAACATATCAAAAACCTTATAACCACTGAACAGCACTGTAAATATGAACAAAAACAAATAACAGTAAGAAACTGTAAGGTGTCTAAACGTCGTACAGTGTATGTTTAATGCTGCTATCCTGGCCACAGTGACAAGACTTCAGGTAGTTATTGCATTTGGCTGAGAAATAGTGAGTTAATAAACCAGCCCTGCAGTTTCCAGTATATATACACATGAGAGTGGCATCAGTCTTCTGATTTAAATCTTAGCTAGACAGCCAATAAGTATGTTTCACAAAATGTAACAAAATGAACTATTCCTTTAACAGACTGCACAATTAATACCAGGCACAAATTCATACACACCTGTGCCAATATATAATACATGGTATGTTTGTCCATCTAAGGCTTGGATCCTATGTAGTGCCATGCGTGTGTAGTCTGTGGTCCTCCTGAACAAAAGGGGGCGTTTGTCTGAAGGTTGGATCTGCTGCGACATCAGCGGATGCCTCCTGACAAAGTCTAGCACATCATCAGGTAAGGAGGTGGAGAAGTTTATGCCCCTGGCCCTCAGATCATTGGTTATACACTGCAGCAAAAGAATCAACAGAGATGAGAGGAGCGGTGATGTTAAGTAACAAAGCACAATGTGGGCTGCAGGGAAGACAAAGAAATGTTGGGTATTTTGTAATAGATTTTCATACTGTATATATAGGGAGGACAGTGGAAGGAGGAGAGGATGTCATGAGTCTTATTGAGCTGGTCTGCAGGGAAAATTAAGGGATCAAAAAGAAATGAGCGCCTGTGGTAGATTGTGTTTGGGTGAAAATGTTAGCCTGTATGCGCTCAGCAGTCAATTGTGCTGACATGTTGGCAAACTTAGCTCTTTCTTCCCTGACTAAGGAAACAACTTCCTTTCTCTATTTGTCCTTTTAACTTCATCCAGTCCCTCTTAAGAGGCTTTCACACTCCCAAGTTAAAGCCCTTAACCAGTTCTGTTTTCTGTTTAATTAATAGGAAATTTAAAATTAAGTCCTACAAAATCTTGAAGTTGCACCACAGTGGATATCTGCTCATACTAACAATCCCACAGCTCTGGCTGTCCCACTAAGCCACTGTCGTCAAAGCTGTGGGTTTCAGTGACATACTCTGGTTGCTTCATCCTTGAGGTTGCTACTCATCCTCTAATATCGCTTTCCCTATTCCTTTTCTTCCTCCTCTTTACTTTGATTAGTTTCATTTGCTTTCTTTCAGAATTTTCTGGTGGGATTCCTTGGATCCTGAAGGGAAAGAAGACAGCAAATGCAATGCCTGCATGTGTGTGCATTTACCGATCCAGGTCGTGGATCAGGGATCTTTCCAGTATATTCCTTCCACTTAAGGCCAGAGTTCTGGTTCTCCATGTAGGGACCTTGAAAGGCATCTTGGACATCAGACAGAGAGAACCGACACACCGCAGACACCTTTACTTTTTTCCTAGAGACAACAACACACAGGCAGAATGAGAAAGACCAGCGCACAGGCTGCTAACAATAACAGCAGTAAACCCATGTGTTGTCATAGTGACAGCAGCAGAAGTACAGCATATCAGTGGTTCACCTAGTTGAAACAATGGCAAAAAAACTAATGGGACAAAAGCACAGGTGGGTGGATAGACGTTTGGGGGGGAATCAGTAGTGACAAAAATAACACTAATTAGAAGTCATACATCCCTGTGATTAGCAGAAAAAAAGGACACAACTACAAAATGTGTAGTAAAACTCAACCACAGTGAGGTATTACAGGTGACGAGCAGTAATCTCAGCACGCTGACCAACTTTACTGTGTGTGGGAATTTGCTTAACACAGCATCAAATCAGCATCTTGATGAAAACAACGCAAGTTTGCTTGGCTATAAAAACACTAGTTGTCTGTCTGTGTATTTCTGATAAAATAGCCTTTCAGAGAGTGTATTGTAACCATACTTGTCACAGATTAACCAGGAATTACATCGTAAGGCATACAACTTTAAGTACATCTAAATCTGAATTGATGTTCTTTCCACACACTGCTGTAAAACTCCTCCGGCTAACTTCTTTTTCACATTTCTATAAACAAAGTTCTCTCGCTCCTTTCTTTCATCTCGCCCCAACCTGCTTTCTTCGACTGTTTCAGCGTATCGATTGCACCCTTTCATCTTTGACTTGCTCATTTACATTTTGCGTCCTAAGAGTCTGCTGGAGAGCTCAGCAACACACAAGTTCCCACTCACCACTCCAGGCCGAAGATGCCATAGAAGAGCGTGTCCTGTGGTGTGTGGCTAGGCATAACGAACATGCTGCGTAGCATGTTGAAGTGGAAGTCATACTCGGGCAGAGAACACATCAGCCTTGCTTTGAGGAAAGATGTCCACCGTTTCTGAAGAGTTAAACGGCCTCCCCGGTCACCCTGAGGGAACAGGAGAAAAGAAAAAGGGACAGGGTTATATGAGGTAAGGGCCTAAATAAAATAAAGTGGCACACATGGGGGGGGAAATAAACCTCCTAAAGAGCACAACGGCTGGTGAGGGAAAGCAATAACAATCCTTTCAGTAAGGTTATGGGATGATATAGGCAAGACTCCTCACTGTGAGCTACAGGTTTATGTATTTGTCCTCAGTAGGTTGAGAGCACTCACTGTGGAGCGACGGTAACACACACAAACAGACCCTGCAGACATATTGCAACACCCACTCCTGATGCAAAAAATGTTCTGACAGGTTCACAATGGAAAAGCTTGACTCAAGGACATGTCTCTTTTGGAAATCCAGCTACTGACATCAGCTTGCCCTTTGATTTTAACTTTTAAATGTATTCAGACAATGGCAAATTGCAAATCTCAAACATGCTGCCACAAAGCATCTCTGTTAAGATTTAAAAACAAATATGCTGCCAAACTTTCAAGGAGAGAACCTGTGAGCGGACTAAGTTTTAAGGCGCCACAGGAGAAAACAACAAAGTTATTACGCTGTACTGTTGGCTCGCTATTCTTAACTCCTTCCCGGGCAGAAGGAAATGTAAATCATTCACATTTTCTCCCCTGCAGACATCCATCCTTCTTACTCAAAGCCACATTTCAACCCATTCATCAGCTACACAGTCTGCTGCTCCAATCACATTGGGGCCTCGGAACAAAAGCATTCCACATCCAGCCACTCATCTGTTATAGTACATGTACCTTCTCCTACAATCAGCCAAGGCTTCACTCAAGCTTGATGCAAGACTCCACTCCCAGCTGCAAAATATCTCATGCATCTCTTTTTAGTCAGCTCTCACCTTACAAACCCGAGCCACTCGTGTCACCCTGCTGTGGCTGTAGGATGTTGTCTGTTCCTGGCTCTTCTCAGTGAAGAAGAAGTAGATCTTATCATCATCGCCCAAACTCTCCCTCACAAGTGCCGAACTCACAAAGTCTGCCTCTGTATCGAGGAGAAAGAGATGCACCGACTCATACTATTTTTTTTCTTTCTGGGTAAATAAATCAACAAAATCTTTTTCACATCAATTATCTACTGACAGTGTTGTTTACATGTACAGAGTCTCATTTAGGTAAGATGCTGATTTGAGCCTTTGACACCCCAAAACAAAGTGTAGGCTAGGCAGACTGGGACTAAAAACAGGTTAAGTTATAATACTTTAAGAATTAGTGGAGCAATATATATATATATATAAGATAAAACACAATAATGCATCATTGATCCACTGAAGCTAACAGAGAAACAGTGTGAAGAGGGTACTTCCATCTGAGTACATGCTTGACAGTATAGAGGTTTAACCTGATGCTAGCTCTGACCACTAGGACCACCCTGCCGCCCAAGCATGTTAGACATGTTTTATCATTTCAGGAGATTAACTCACCATTCAGCCAGCGCGTTGGGGCGTCTTCTGTCTTCAGTGTGGGAGATGGAGAGTTACGGCGAATATCTGGAAAGCTCCTAAACTCATACTGGGAGGCTGTATACATCTGCTGGTCTGGAGAAAAAACAGTTTATCGGGTCAATCAGGTGTTGAGTGGAACTCAGGAAGTGACTGCTCATTGTAGTAGGGCATTACCTATGATGAGTCCAGTGTAGCCTGTTAGTGGCCCATAAGGGCATTTGTCTCGGCCCTCCTCAGGCTGAGATGACATCACAAACCTCCTCTCATCCTAAACAGAACAAAGCATTTAGAATATATAGAAAGAAATTCGGTATCAAATGAATTTTACAACACTGGCAAGGCTGTAATGTGTTGTGTGTGACCATACAATGTATGCACAGAGTGGTCCGAAGGCATAAGTTCCACACATGTAGAGATGACTTGAGTTGAACCTCTGGAGGAAGCGGATGTGATTAAAACACTCCGTCTGAAGGAGAAAAAGAAATCCATAAAACGTTTTACAGTGAGGTACAGAACATTAACACATTGGACAGAACCAAATTAAATTGATGAAATGAAAGGACTGAGGGAGAAAGAAAAAATAAATGCCTACCTTATTGTCTTTTCCCTTGAGCAGACACTGACGTTTTTGTTCAGGGGAGGCCTCCCACTCAATCTATAACACACCACATGAAATACAGTAAGGTAGAAAGAGAACACGAGGAGCTGGATAGTTCATATCACTACGTACATTTTTTAGCAAAATGGCACTGATGTGACAGCAGATACATGGAGAATAATTTTTTCTTTAAAAATTCATTTATTAGGATTTTTCCACCACAGCATCTGAATTTACTGCACTGCCACAAGCAGCTAACTTGTTATGCAACATCCCAAGTTGAATTAACACCTTTGTATTTACAGCAGGAGATAGAGAGGTGGTTGCAAGGGGGTGTTTTACACACACACACACCAGCAATTATACCATATGACAGACATCACTGCTGTATTAACATCATTAGCATAACAGTTTAATGTCAGGTTGTCACCAGCTACCAAACAAATCCACTTTTAGCTTCTATATGAGTAAAGAGACAGTCAACTTGATGACATCCTGCAACATGCTGTTTGCAACTTGACTCAATTACAGCAGCACTAATGACTACTACACTTTAAGGAAACAGAAATAGGCAGACATCATTAATAAATTCCTGTGGGCACACTTGTACTGACACAAATATGTTTCTTGACATACACTCACCAGCCACTTTATTAGGTACACCTGTATAATTGTATGCATTCCAGTGCAACACTTCTGTGTTTATGAAGCTCAAAATGTTTCAGTTTCAGTGAAATTGTCAGAAATGTATAAATTCAATTATATGTTTATTATTGAGGTCAGAGTTAAAGGTGGTGTTGCACTGGACTGCATTATATTCAGAGGTGTCTCTATGTTTGTCCTCCCCATACATAAGAAGGCCAGAATATTAGGAAAGGGTCCTCACAGGCCCCGTTTGTTGCGACCATCACTGCAAGCTTGTAACGACTATTCAAGCAACAAATTAATATGTAAGTTTATGCACCAAGAAGCTCCTGTGGTGTAAGTGTGAGGCATTGTTTTAAAAATAAAGCAACAATGCACACACACATGCACAAGGAGGTGATGGCAGGATACATATTTTTGCCTCAAAATGAAATACTGTTGCCTTAAAAAGTTCCTGTGTTGTGAAATTTAAATGAAGCTGTGGCAGAGATATGGCTGCTGAAGCCTACAACATGCAGAAACAGAGGAACAAACAAACTCACTGTGAGAGGAGAGCTGGCTGAGATGTCAGAGGCATTGAGAGCAAACACAGCCCCCCGGGCACCGACGTAGAGACGCTCACTGTCAGGCTCCAGCAACATGGTGCTGTAGTTGACTGCAGAGGACTGGAAACGCCTGCAGCCCTGGAGACCTGAGGAAGGAGAGGAGGACTGGTTGTCATTGAAGGTGACCTTTTATAGCCCATGACTGCTTCAACTACATCTATTTATGCAGAACAGCTCCTAATGTTTTTAAAAAATACACCTCAGACTTTAATATACTGCACATGCTCTTTAGTGGCTGAATCAGCAGTGTGATCTCAAGTAAAATTGACTCTTGGCAAAAATATCATAATTCTTGCAAAGAGCATCAAAAATGATAATAGTTCCACAAAAGCAGGTCAGCTCTTCTGTTGTTGTACTGCACCTCCTCAGATCATCTGAGTAACTTGTCCTGTGTGTGATTACTGGACACTAGTTGAAACAGCCTGATTATGATGTCTATGGCCAATATACCAACAATATCCACTGCTGCTATTGATTATAGGCTGTTTTTATGAGGATCAGGATGAGATGGTCAAAAACACTTTTCAGAGAAAAAGTATCCTCTTTTCAAATTCATATTTCTCAAACACTTCAGGAACTGACTATTTCCTGTAGTACAACTGGACTGATTACTGTATTGTGTATGTCCAAACACATACAGATTCTGTTGCCATCTCTATTTGTATGTGACAATTTGAACCAGACATAATGAAAAACTCTGCAGGGATAAATTTTCATACACTAACACGTCACTGAATGTCTTTAGAAAGACCCTGAATGCGCATACAGTTATTACCAACAGAGAGGGGCATGTTAGAAGCACAAAACTGATGGGTTTTTCGATCAAACTTGCCAGTATGTGAATAAAGGGAGAAATAGAAATCTATTCATCTTATGTAATGGATTTCGCTCCATGTAAATTATAAAATGCAATGCAAAGAAGCAAGAAGGCTGTGCTTTTTGATTCTGAAGGACTTCTGAGTTTTTTTTAGGTTGCTATATAAAAATTAATTAAAATCCACTGTTATGGACCTATATGTTCCTTGTGTTTAGATATAAGTAGTGTTTTAGGATAGACATTTCTTTTATGACTGCTTATCTACTGACTTTCCCTTGTGCAAATGTAGTGCTGAATTTATTATTATTTACAGAAAGGACTGAATTTGGATTATCAGTTGTTCAAGTCATTTATCACGCACAAATGCAAGAACATTTCAGGCTACTCCATGTGGATTGCTACGGTTTGAGGTTCTTCTGCTTTGTGTACATGTCTCCCATCTTGTTCTCCAGGCTATATTGGGATGCATCTGTTTGACAGTACAAGATACTAATGAGGTTCAGTCATACAAACACTCAGCAAAGAGACATACAGCGCGCACACACTAACAAAACATGTCATAAAGTTGCTTGCTGCAGTTGTGAGATGCTGGAGAGTTACATGAGTTCCAAACATGCAATCTATCAGGACTCCACTTAGTTTGGTTAAACATGCCACCGCCATCAACACGTGCACATACAAACACGTCAGAGACACCACCATCCTTTAGGCATGTCATAACCACAATAATACTGTACGTCTGTTAGACAACTGTGGTGGTGTAATACATCAGTATTGTGAAAAAAAGATTAAATTATCTGACATGACGCTGAGCACGTTTTACTATAAGGTGGGGTGGATTTTGACAGCAATTAAGCCATACAAGCATACAAATTTTCATGCTCTATTGATGACTATAGTAGTGTAGGACTGCCAAAGAGAAATGTGACTTCCTGCATTCTCAGGCAATTCAGTTCCCCCTGAAGACTGTGCAGTTATCAAGTAAGATGTCATTAAGATTCCTATCAGTTGCTGCGAAACACAGTTCACTCTGCTCACTTCAGCAGCAGCAGCAAATCAGTTCCCATCCCAGATTGCTCAGGGGTGATCAGGTGTCTACTTTTCTTCACTCATTCTCAGCAGGAGGAAGAAGAGGAGTATTACCCTTAAGGGATTTTCAGAACAATTGTTGTGATATGAGTGTTGTGGTTGAAGACAATGCACTAGAACAGAAACAATGCCTAAGCTTCCTCAGTGTAATCTGAGTATTAGGACACACAATACCCTGTGTGTGAGGGCTGGACAGCCGGAGCCAGGTAACTCAGAACAACCTTGCTGACAGAGTGAGGCAACAAGGGATATTTATATGGTCTATACTGACTATAAATGGCAATGAAATAACATCCCACACTCACAGCTTAACCTCAGCTTTCAAGATCATGTGAGAAAAGGCATGTTTGATTTCTTTTGTAAGAAAAGAAAAAGAGAGAGATAGGGGCAGCGACCGAAGGTCTGAGGGCCCTCAGCATGCACACACACACTTGCTGAACCTCTAGACATTGGACTGTGATGTGTCAGCCTTACATAACTAAGGCTACTTAATAATTCACTCATGCTTCAGTCCTGTTTACAGTTCAGATATTCTGACGTCCAAGAGACAGGCGGTACTGAATAAATAAAGTTAAACCCAATGACTGAAATTGATGCCAAAGTAAGGTTGAAACCAGTGTCTGTAATGAAAAGCTATTTGGGTGTAACATCAGTTTTCATTCTGTTTATCCGCTCTCTCCGTTTTATTCTTTCAGCTCCTCAAAACCTCAGCCATGGAACTGTCAAAATAATAATGACTCAAATTTTTCCACCTTGTTAAAGGGGAGAAAAGTGAAGTTGCAATGAGGAGAGAACACAGGTGTGTGTGTTTAACTGTGCTTGTGTGCGTGCATGTATGATTTCACCACCCCCCACAGGTTTGGAGGCTTTGCTTTTAGGTTGCTAAGAAACACAGAGATTAAAGGGATTAGTGGTAAGTTTGCATAATACGTCCTCTCATCAGGAAGAGGGAAGCAAAAGAAACAAAGATGAAATGTAAAGGCGAGGGAAGGGAATTAAAAGAGGGCAGTACAAGGATAAAAATGATAATAATGAAAAACAAATGAAGACATAATTGAGCAGGAGAGGCAGAATTTAAGTGCAAAGGAAGAGAGAAGGATGGCAATGGAGGGGGAGTTGATGAGGGAGCAGCGGGGTGGCTGACAGGGAGACGAGTCGTGTACCTGTAGGCAGGCTTGAGCAGTAACTCATGGTTTACAAAATTTGAGATAAAGATATTAACAGAGCAAGATGAGTGAAGAATCAGTGAAGAAAGAAAGACAACTGTTTAGAAAAGGAGAAGTGGAGAGGAGGGATATTGTTTTACAAGTAGATCTTATAAAAGAACTTGGCTGCAAGTGTAAGTGGAGACGTGAGAAAATTTCTTTCACACGTCAGCGTATCAACAAATAAAGTCCAGGATCACATAACAGTGCCGCTTAAAAGAGACACACACACTTGCCCACACATGCACAGAAAATAAATGAATAAATAAGTAAAAAATACTGCATACAATAGTCTTGTGCCATAGTACAACAGTTGTCATGGTTACAGTGCATCTCAACTACCTACAGTGGTGTCAGTGTCCCTGGATGGTCCGCAGGGATCCATGTGTAAGCACTTTACTCATCTGCCTCTGTCTCTGTGGCACCTCGGGCTACATCGCATCACTCTCACAAGGTAAATCAATAATTAATTATTAAATTGATCTTTTTTTTTTTAAATAAAAAAAATCACACTGTGGTTAATAGAAGGGGTGTGTGTGTGTGTGAGAATTACCAGAGGCAACCAAAATGTGTGTGCAATGCAGACCAGTAAGGTTTAGACAAGAGCAAAGAGCTGTGTCAGGACAGCGTAAGATAGTGGGGGGGACAGAAGACAGTGGCTGCAAAATTACAGAAAGAGGAGTTTCTTTTCAAATGGCCTATTTTATAAAGCCTGATAGCTTAGTGGTTTGAATGGAAAGCACTGCATTTGAGTTGTGAGTCATCATAAGGTATTTAGCTATGAAGCAGTTTAATGTCGGCGAGGATAAAAAGCTTTTTTGAAATGCTGACCATTTGACAGGATGCCATTACATGTGCCAGAAAGGTGTCTGTATCCATCCTTACCACTGCTCAACACTGTGATGCGTGGAGTCACATCCAGGTCCAGAGGCGTTCTGAATGGGTAGCCGGCAGCCGCACACACACAGGAGCTCAGCAGCAGGAGCTGTGGCACACAGGACCGAGCTCCCTGCATCTCCGCCAACCGTCTCATGGGACAAACGCTCTCTGTGTAAGGTGTAAATGCATGCGATGGCACTCACACAAACATTTTCACCCTCCGACTCACAAACACCCCTTCATACACCCACACACTCAGGCAAACACTGGCGGGCAAGCAGGCAGCCTCCTTTACCAAGAGGATTGAAGGAACCTGAAAAAGAAAAAAGCACATAGCCAACAGTGTTAGCAGCTGTGTACACACTAGAAAAAACACAAAATGCTGTGCACCTTGGCACTGTGAATCAAGATATGACACCTCAAAAAGTCAGAGGAGAAGATGAAAAAGAAGTGAAGCTGTTGAAGTTCAGTTGTAAAGTTCAAACACATTAAATAAGCTGATGTGGAGGATTTCACAAGGATGACGACAGAGATATGAAAGAGACACAAAGTGCATTCGCTCAATAAAACACTGGGTGCTTTTGTAAATCAATGGCGCTCTGTGAGACCGGGCTGTCTCTCAATGTTGTAAAGTCTCGCAGTTTGTAGTATGTGAGCAGCAGCTGCCGAGCCCCAACACATGACTGAAAATATCATAACCAAACAAGGGCTATCAAACGGGGCTGTGTGGCAATATCACAAGCAAACACTGGAGGATTAAAAAGCAATGTGGAGCAATTCAGATCGATAAGGTGTCAAAACCTGTTCGAGCCACGGGCGTAACTGAGGGAAGCCACATCCTGGAGTGGAAAAACTGTGACAAATGATCACCTCCAAGATGTGTGTTAGGGTGTTGTTCCAACAAAACAAGGCCTTCTTTTGGAGGAGAAGAGGGAAGAGGTGTGTGTGCGTGTGTGTGCGTGTGTTAGGGTGCTGTGTGTTTGAAAGACGCTGAGAGAAAGAAAGACAAAGAGAGACGTCACCATTGCCCAAAAAAAAGCTGGATCCAGTGCCTGTTAGTGCATTCTCAGCATTGTTGTATGCACTGCTGCATGTGATGGACACACACACACACACACACACACACACACACACACACACACACACACACGCTCTTTAGATACTCCACCTCTGTCTTTCCCAGTTCCAAATGTAAACAGTCACACTCTTTAGCGCTTTCCATTAAACAAAACATGCCTCTAGCACCCTAAAGACCTTGACATCCTGGGAGATTGCTTGTTTCTTCTATCACTGACACACACAAATGCATGCACATGCAACACGGCTCTATTTTACACAGCACACGGACACAACGAACACAAAAAAGACCAGAAAATTAATTAATTCATTAGCACAAGCATTTGTCACTGCACTACAGAAAGCTCCAGCAGTCCCTCAGGGCTGACACTGTGACAACAACTGGCTTCAGTGTTACGTAATGTTATGAACAAATACAGCAGCACACAGGAATGGAAAACATAGGTACTGTGAGTTAGAAGTAGATAGTAACACAAATATCTTGAGAATCATAGTGGAATGCTTTACCTGTTTGATATGCTTGACATTGTTGCTGATCATTTGAATGTTTTATACCGCAGTCACCAGTCTCAGTTGATTTCTCTGCTATACAAGGTCCAACATCACATTGAACATTTATTCCTCTTTATTTTTTTAATAAAACTACACAGTAATGATTTGTAAGTTTTGAAATTCAATCTGTGTAATCACAAGGCGTGTTGTCAGAAAATCAAAAACACAGACACTAAGAACTATAAGTTCACATTAACGCCTGTGAACATGTCTGTACTGTGAATTTTGTTTATTGCTGGACCGGTCAATCGATCAGTTGATTTGCCGAAAATTAATCGTCAAATATTTTGATTGATTAATCAATTTTCAAGCCATTTTTCAAGAAAAAAAAGCTAAACATTCACTGGTTCCAGCTTCTCAAATGTGTGAATGTGTTGCTATCATTGCAAAAGCAGTACCTTTGATTTGTGGATTACTGGTCGGACAAAAGAAGCAATTTGCAAAAGTACTGCAAAAATAATCAATAGACATCAGTAATTGCTGTTTGGTAGTTACACCCATTAAATGTCTTTGGAGAAACTAACCCTAAAGTCTGACTCTTTCAAAATCACTGGCAGGAAAGAATCTTAAAAACAGCCGCTGACTGCAGAGGAAAAACAAACAACTTCCTGGTCTGTAAAACTCAGTAACCTCAAAACCACAGTGAAAACAAGGTTTATGAGCTCCAGTAGTTGTTTGGGAAATATTACTTTGCCACTAGTGTTAACAACATTTTATAAATTTTTATATCTCTATCTTGCACCCACTATCACAAATATTCTTTGGGGGAGGCATCAATTATTTCAATCAGACATCACCTTTCAGGATGTGATGTCTCTCCTGAGGCCTGTCAGACAGTGTAAAGGTATGTCAATAACCCTCTCAGCCTGTCTAAGCTCCTCTAAAAAGGCACCAGAGGAGGTGCACTTTTTTACAAGTTATGTATCTGACTCATGCACACCAAATCACTCAAATGGGCTGTCAGGGTCTGTCCTTCCACTCAGTCAGCCACATTGGTTTTGATATGATCTTAAAATCTCAATGAAAAAGAGAATATGACACAAGAGAAATGAAATAGGAAAGAGGGGAGAGAAAGCCACAACTAAAAAAAAATACTGTTAGGTTCAGCTGCACAGAGGGAAGAACCAGAATTATGAAGAATTATGACATCCCCAATTTTCTGTCATATAAAATCCATTATTCTTGCCTTAACTCTGTGTACCCCGGACCTCCAGAACGCAGAAGCTTCCAATTGTTAATTGGCCACTGAGCACACCAATAAAAACTTTGGGAATCTCCAAGAAAGCATGACGTTGAAAATAAAAAGAGGTAAATCCCATAAGAAATTACAGAAACTCTACTCACGATCTAACCTTTTTAATCTGCCTTGCTCCTGATCTCGCTGCCAGCTCTTGGTCCTATAACGTTCATCCATGGAAATTGATTTTATCAGGCAATTATAATGTGTCTTTAAACCCGTCTGAATAGTAGAGCAGTGTCGACACAGTGTCGACAGCTCCAACAACAAACAACACTTGTCCCAAAGGACTCAAAACTCTCTGTTTTGTCGGGGGGGGGGTGTAACAAATGGAAGAAAAGATTACAGTCAAAGCCACTGAGCTGTGATTCAGCTGAAGAAAGAAGTGCTTCAAAATGTTTTTGTTTCACAGACAGACAAAAAAAGCCAACTTAACTGAACTGTATTTGTTCCCAATACTGTAGCTTTATACTTAGTACAGTCACTTTGTTACACTGGGCTCTTTAAACTGACCTTTCACACTGAAGTTATTCTAACAACACAACAAAACAGACAAAGGGTGCATCAATAAAATGTTATTTACTATCATTTATAAAAGAGCATAACACAACAGCTCTCTGTGTTTAATAACAGTCCAAATGTACCACTGAGCTAGAGTCTTAATAAATTCATGTTTTATGGCGACCTAGAGAGACGTTTACACGGGAAGCTTATAGTCAATTCAGGCATATACTAAAAGGGTTTGTAACAAAAAAAAAACAACCTTCTGGTCAATTTTATTTACATTAAATAATCGAAAATGCTAATTTTTGAATATCTTACAAGTGTTTCCTTCCACTTAGCATAGGGGGAGAATTTGTAAAGACAAACAGGTTCACTTGGTTTACATGGGTTTCTCTATAAGCCTAATGATTAGATCACTGTTACAAACACCATTATCTGAGGGTTGATTATCCATCTTTTACAGACCAATCGTGCACTTCATGCGCCTTGAACATCATCAATGTGTGTTTACACTTCATTCACTCTAAACAGAGCTGCTCAGCTGGCAACTTGTCATAGCTTCGGTGTCCTTGTAAAGTACAGGCTGCAGCTTTACATGTTGCACAGCTCGTCCACATTCCTGTTGCTGTCTGGCGGACTGAAAGTCAATCCATTAATGCAGCAGAGGGCAAGTGTTCAAATGCGCCAATTAGCCCATTTTATGTACATTTATAAGCCTGAATTGGGCTATAGGCTACTACTCACAGGCAAATAGCTCATAAGGAGATGTACTGTATATGATCCCATGTCCATTAAGGAGTGTTATTACTCAGATATCATGGGAAACTCTTAAATCTTTATATGATGCATTGCAAGATATTCTGAGGGATTAGAAATAGCCGACGACACAGAATTATAGCCTGCTACTCAACTACCACTGTAGATATATTATAAAGATACCACAGGAGAAAATTAATTCACTATAAGTAAGTGTTTTATTGTGCCTGTGGTCGCGTAAGGTTCAGTGTGTCTTACCTGAATGAAGTATAAATTCCTCGAAGAGAAGGATATGTACGTTTCCGTGAGCTCAGTATAATCCAAGTGGACTTTAAACACGCGCACACACACACACACAAACACCCAGTGAATGACACACAGATACTAGGAGCTTCTCTCCACTGATCTGCCGTCACAAGTGTTCCGCCCTCCTCACACACTCAGTTCTTCGTTGTCTTCTCCACCAGCCTCTGGATCCGGTAGGTCTGGAACCAGCTCATTGTTATTTGTTGATGAGACGGTTCCTGGTTCACTGTACCACTTGTTTCCGGGTGTATCCTCTGCTCCAACCAGCACAGGGACAGTTATAGTTGTGAGGCAAAGTAAAAAAAAAAAAAGGTGCATGTGTGCAACCTGTCCTATTCTGTGCGTCAAGGTGGCGTCACAGTGACTCGTCGCGCGCACAGAGAGCACTACATACAAGCGGATGCCTCGGATATAGACATAAATACATTAAACTAAAATTTTAACTAACAAAAGTGATTTTTATTATCAAGCATGGCTTAACAAATTAACTTAATTATCTAATCTATGAACATTTACCACTGTATAAAATCATGTGTGATGCCTCTGGTTCACTCCATATCATTTGGGTCCATGCTGGCTGGTGCCTGAGGAAGTAATGGACGCATAGTGTATAACACACACTGTAGGGGTAAAAAGAAGGACCTGCATCTGGGTACTCCTCAATGTTCTTCTGGTCTTTATCAACTAGTTATTTGAGGGTGCGTTCCCAACCCTGGCTCGGTCTTGGTTTTTGTTCCATTTAGTTTTGGCACATGAAATGGCACATGCCTGAAGCCACGGTAAATCACGGCATATCAACAAAACAACACATGGAGTCCCACATAATGGTATCAGCTTGTTTGTGGTCAGAAAATGTGGACATCATACCCTCCCAGCGCCCCACAACTTTTGATTATGAATGAGGATGGGACATTCATTCTTTGATGTAAAATCATGATGAATTAAATAAAACCCATAAAACCACACTTGATATTAAGACTGTCCTGGTGTCTGGGCAATGTGGGGCAGTATTCAGTCAGTGGTATAGACTGTTCACGTAGTGTTTTAAAGCAGAGACATCATGTTGCTCAATATGAAAAGACTGCCTATTTTCTGGAATTACCATTATCAGCTGATGAACATCAGCATCACATAGAGTGCCATGTGCCGCCTGCACTACATTTAAACGAGTTTCCCCGCCCTTGCCGCTGATTGTTGGTGGCGGGAAAGGAAGTGGTTACTCAGGTGTTCCCACAGGCCAATCATCCAATCATCCAATCAACAATAAGGGTCGCAGGGAGTGGGCACGGCCGCAAAGCTTTTGGCTTCTAAGCTGTTTTCATATTTATGGTAAAGTTCATATTAGTATAAAGTAGACAGGTCAGAGGGACACCACCACCTGTGAGTTGATAGGTTACAATTCAAAAGAAGAAAATGTTTTTGGCCTGAACATTTTGGGCCATAAGTTTAAGTCTTTAATTCAATAACCTGTTTCAAAGGAGCTTTATTGGCATGAAAGTTTTAACCATGTTGCTAAAACCTTAAATTACAATTTATAGGTATTTAAATATTTGGAAAGTTCAACCCCCATGTTGTGGTATATTGATACATACAGGGCAACTAGAAAGACCCATCCTCCTTCTCCTAGGAGTGTTTTTAACTATGAGGTCTTTGATTCCTAACACTAAAACAGTACCTAACAGTAAAAAGTTTCAAAATAAATGTCTTGTTGTTGTTTATTTGTTTGTTTTTAACACAGTAGAAGGATGTGTATCTGTCTGTTATTATAAATTTGTATTTGCTGCTCTCTGACATGTGGCCTATAGAGTTGGAATCATTTGAGATTTGACTCAAACTAATTTTATTTTTTTCTTTCTAGGTAGATCTATGGACTATAAGTCAAATATTTTTAAATATATGTTAAATATTTGTACTGTTTTGTGGGCAGCAGGTTTAATTTTGCTTTTATGAGAACAAACATAGTGTTCAAGCTGTACCAACATCTTAAATGTGAAGTTGTAGTAGTAATACATTAAGTTGCATTTACCATGTTACACATTTTTAAAATTAGGTTGTTGGTGGCTGTCGTTCAGCTTTTGTGGCCATGTGTAACATTAAAGACCTGTATACAAAATCACCAAACTTATTTTTTACATTTTAATCTTGTTTTAAAAAACAGGTACCAGTGTGCAGAGGTTTTTGTTTATAACCCCCAGGAGTCTTGATAACAGGACTGCTGGAGCATTAAAGTGACCTTATAAAATGCTGTTTTTTAAGCCCCCAGGCATACGAGATTATAAAACAAGCGTGTGTTCATGTGTGTTTATGTGATGACTCCATCCACGTGTTTTCATTCTGTGTCCTTTTTGATTCCGAATTAAAATAATGTAATCAAAATGAGCTTTTTAGCTTCTACTTGGGGTCCAAACAGCTGACATTCTTCTGTATGACAAGGAGAGTGATAACATGCTGATGTTGTTCCACAGTTACTTGAATATTATGCATATAGAGCAGTTGTCGTATCAGTTTGCTGCTGTATTTGAGCTGACAAGGTTTGATATGGAACTGCATAAATAAATTCATAGCCCTTGTTGGTCCTGCCACTGCTTGCCCTCTGTACAGATGCCATTTTAAGAATCTTCACATTCTGCTTGCCAAAGGCTTTTGTATCACTTAATACTTAAGGAATTCAATCACTAATGTCAGAGGAGAAAAGTAACTGTGTACATTTACTGTACTTCAGTACAGTTTTGAGTTAACTGTACCGAAGTATTTCCATTTGCTACTCCATAATTTGACTTCAATTAAAAAGAAAACCTTATTTTGTCAGGTATATGTGTGATAAAAAGCAAAAAGGGTATTTGTCCTTATTTGCTTTCTGTATTTTAAATTGAAAATTGATATTTTTTTCATTGTCTTGTGACCCATTGCTTAACTAATTTGGACTGAACAGTGTACACAGATTCAGGCGCTGTTTATCAAGAGTTTTGCTAAAGTAAATTTTAATTTCGGGGGATGGGGGGGACTTCACCGTTTTCCACATCTTTAAAGGCAATGAGAAGAGTGTAAACAAAACAAGCCAGAAACCTCTGTTTTTTGTGCTGATTGACAAAATATGATTTTAGGTTCTTTAAAAGTAAAGGAAAAAAAAATCAATGTGCAAGTTTACTGTGGGTGGATGTTTGAAACAAACTAAAGATGTCACAATGGCTTTCCTTTTAGTTTTACTCTTTATGAAAATACTTTTCTTTCCAAGCTTATGGAAGACACATCCAGGCACGCAGACATACTGTAACTCCACCTTCGTCTTTTCATCTGTTCCCCTCTTCCTCCTCTCTAGACCCTCATAAAAATATTATGTTTTGCTTTTCTAGATTAGATGAGATTCACAATAAGGCTGATCTCATATCCCAATAAATGTGGATGTTATGTATAGAGGAGCTCAACATGTAATGAAGGTGTCTGAAAGTAAAGCCGGCTCCAACAGGGATACACAAAGCCAATGAAATAACAGCCAAGAGTGGCTACACAAGGGATTTTAGTTCTCATATTGCACATGGCAACAATAACAACAGCTTAGATCTTTTTCTGTATGCATACAATTTGTAGGTCTACACACTTGATAAAACACAAAGGGCTAATGTTGGTGTGCAGTAGAAATCAATGAGAGTTCAAGTTACAAAGGGAAGCAACAGTAGCTAGCTGTCACTCCATATATGACTGCTCTTTCATTTATACACAGTCCTTTGAATCAATTATGAAGTCATGTTCCATGGCTGTTGAATTTAGCCTTTTATCTCAACTCATTGTCATTCAGCAGGGAATCGGTGCATGAGAGGTTGTCTCTTAAACATTCAGCACCATTAACCCCAACAACAGAAGAACATATGGAAGAAGGAGCATCCCGGCCGCTGGTTACCATGGCAACAATGGTACCTGAGAAAGCGGGGGAGTGGTCAGTTCATATGCGGACAGATTTAATATATATTATTTACATCACAAGAATAAGCACTTCTGTTTTTCCTCTGTGTGTCCTTGCCCGTAGTAACAATTTAAAAAAAAAATCTTGGATAAAATGACTTGAACTGCTTCTGCCTGATCTGCAGCGGCCTGTACACAAGAACACAGCGTGCACTAGGCCTTCAGACCAGTCACTTGAAATTCTAGTCCCAAATTATTTTGTTCATACAACAGGTATCTGGGTCCAGGTACAATCTGAGGAAGCTGTTTTAAGAATGCTACAGTAGCAGTGAGGCTCACTCAGTCGGTGTACTTTTGTGAGGGTAAAGTAACAATTTACTCATGTTCTCTAGGCTCTTGTACTTTCCTTTCACTACTACTACTACTACTCTTTCACTGCATTTCAGAGGGAAATATACTTTTTTTTTTTTTTTTACATTAGTTAATAGTGATTCCTGCTTTGAAATGGCAAAGCTTCACTTTTTGTCCGACAGAGGGCAGCAAAGGTTAATAATCTAGCATCTACTTGCCTTTGCCACTGATAAGAAAATAGGATTAGTTTGCATTGGTGGTCAGTAACAAGAACACTACAGAAATGGTGCACAAAGTATTTTATTGTAAATGTCTGAAATACTACAGTACATTTATGGTTGTAGTTCTGACAAAGACAACTAAAGAAAGTAACAAAAATAAATACATCTGCATTGACAGATATATGATGAGTTCAGTTTTTGTTTGCTTTTAAGACATGAAGTGACTTGGAAATTGTCCTGTGACATTACAATATCATGTACCATCTCTTATCGATTACTAAAAAAGCCAAGGTTTCTGGTATTAGGCTCATCTTTTACTGAACTGTCATATTAGCTGTAATAAAATATTAAAATTCACATCTTATTCAAGGGGCATCTCAAGAGTTTTAAACCCCATTTTGATAATCATTTCTATGGTAACATTTTACTACTTTCTGTGACAAGTACACATGTACAGGGTATCTATGGCATCTCAACAAAGTGCCAATTCAGAAAAGTAGACTGGCTTTCAGGGTGTCATAGTTCACAGAATGAACAGCAACAGATCAATCAAAAGCTTCAAATATGTTTTTTCATCTAAACATTTTCTTTAGTCAGAACAGTGGTGGTCACAGCTGAAACTCCAGCACAGTTATACAGAGGCAAGGTCACTCAACATAGATGGAGAGAAACAAGCCCCCAAGGATTGTCATGGTAACAGATCATCATTCACCTGGTCGGGTGTGCAGATCCAAGGATGACAGAAAATGACCAGTAGTCCAGTCAGCAAATTTTAAAGGTCTTTTTGGAATGTAAAAATCACTTTATAGCAATACAAATACTGCTTCTTCCATTTACATCCCAACGAGTTTCTGCCACTTTAGAAATTGCTTTTGTAATTAGTGTCTGAAACGACTCAATAAAGGAAAACAATACCAATAGTGTCTAAAGTACAAAGTACACAGAGAGGCCTGGAATCCCTCTGCTGTAGATACAGAAAAGTGCCAGAAAGAGTTCATTGTTGATCCTTCATATTGTTTGGTCCACCCCTGTCTCTCCATTTCAGCAGTGTCCTTCTCTACTCCAGTCTGTTAAAGCCTGTGTGTGTTTGGAGAATGCAGGGATCCGTGTGTTTTAAGCTAGACTCCGCTGTCTTGGCTTTATTCTGGGGTAGAGCTGTTCAAGACAAGAGGTCATGTCAACTTCGCATTTGCACATAACTGCTTCTGCATAAATTAAAAACACCTTTTACAGTCGACTCACCCCTAGCAGGTTGCGGGGAATGTAACCTTCAGTGTCACCCATGCGTGCCCACCACCATTCAATTTCATCTTCATCTTCTCTGCGGATGATAGTCATGCAGTCTCCCTCACGGAACGACAGCTCATCTGGGTTTTCACCAGTGTAGTCCCATAGACCATAAACCACACCCCTGTTCATGATGCCCATCTTTTCTTGCACACCTGAGGGTAGGTGGATGTAAATTAGCATAGCATGCATAAAAACCAGCAAAAAAACAAAGACATCAAAAGTAATAAAACAGCTTTCACTGACCATAGAGGAACTGAGAGCATTGGGTGTAGCCCTCCTCCATCTCCTCACATTTATCAGCTGCCGTCTGCATGTCGCTGTAAGTCATAGCAAACACTGCTGCACCAGACTCCACCAGGAATTTGCACACTTGCACATTGTTGCAGGATGCAGCACAGTGAAGAGGTGTCCTATGTTAGAGGGTGGGTTAGAAAGGAAAAGGAAGAAGATGAAAGAAGGAATATTAGAACTGTAAAGAGAACCACTGACAACTGCCACAATCCTGAATAAAACAGCAATAATAATTTTGATTAAATGCACTACATTCAGGCTTCTGTTGATAGCCAGCTCATGCTGCAGGACTACAATCTGAGTTGAATAAAACTTAACATGTAAATTAAATCTAACAGTTCACACCTGTTTAAACATAAAATGCAAGAATCCAATATCAAACTTGTCAGCAGTGAACTTGAACTTACCAGCCGTCACTGTCAGCAGCATTGACATTGACACCAAACTGAACCAGAAACTTGACGATTTCTGTATGTCCTGCACAGACAGCATTGTGTAGAGCAGTGATGCCTTCGTCATTGGGCAGACTGGGATCCTCCACCTGTTACGGGGGAAAGGTAGACACAGTACATGTTTCATTTTGGCATCTGCAAAGTGCAATAATAAACTCTGAGATATTTTAATCTAAACTTCAACAAGAAAAAAAGATGCTTAAGAAACTACCCTTAGTAAATGTTTCTTACTTCATAGATGATTCTCTGGACCAGGTCAAACTCTCCCTCCAGAGAAGAGTCCAGCAGAAGAGCCAGAGGATTGAACTTTACTCTCATATTGTGATCTATACGTTCAGAGTTTTGCTTGCGCAGGTTGGTCCTCTTCCCCTACAGATACAGTCACACAAACGATCTTAAACAGCCATTGCAACATAAAGAAACAAAAATGTAAATCTAAGACACGAGTCTCATTGTGAAGTCTGTCCTGCTGAGGTGGAAGCATCTAATCTCTGCTCTGTTCTATGTGGACTGGGAGCAGAGGAGGGACTTGTTTTTCCAGTTCTTAGTGCATTGTTAATCTGGTTTACTGGCACAAGCTGTAAGACACGAGTTCAATGATTATGCAACCTGATTAGGAACAACCTCCAGTGAGGTAAATAAAAAACAACTAATTTTTAAATGGGTCTTAAATGGAATTGACAAAAGGTGGGAACCAGGCAGGAAAATAGGTCAGAACACTGAAATCTTATTTTGGGGTAAAACCTGCCAACTCACTACAAATTCTACTTCAGGAGTTTCAGCAATAACCGGAGAACAAGCAACTAAAAAGTGGTGTTTATTATCAACACAGAATGTATCTAAGTAAACAGGGTAACGTCAGGTGGCTATCCGCTTAGTGTGAGGAGGATAAGGCCCATTTTCTTCTGAAACAATAGCTGTACTGGGTATGACTTATTTACTTTATGTAACATCAGACCAGGTCAGCGCTGCTGGCCAGCAGGTTTTTGAAAGTACAATGTACACAAACTGTAACTCAACCTGCCCTTGTGGAACTACCATACAAACATGTGAGGGCACATAAGAATGGATGTAACACAAAAACAAAAGGATAATCTATAAAGTGGTGTGTTAACTAAGGCCCTTAATATCTTTTGACATAACTGAGCTTTAAAACTACTTTAAAAATGAAACAAGAGAAGTGAAAGCAGCATAATAATAGTAATACAGCAGTTTCAGAAGGTAATTCGTACCGGTGGCAGGGTGACCTGGCCAGTGACCTCAGGAGCCTTCATGTTAAAGGTGTCCTCTCCAAAGCTGTCCTGTTCTGCTCCACTGGGGTACGGAGGTGGTGGATAAGGGGGGAACTCTTCCAGGTAGCCCTCTGAAGGTGGAGGGGAAAGGTCATGCATTGTGTCCTCCATACCAGCAGTGGGTGGTGGTGGGAAAAGAGCATCATGTAGCCTTGGGGCTGGATGGGACGGGGGAGGAGGGGGGATAATGTCCTCA